GGATAACCTACATCTACTTGTATGCACAATCCCTAGCTCATTTTCACGAATTTTCCTCAAGAGTCTTGCAAATCTGGGAAGAAACACTCACCATGGGCGGTGATAGCTGTGACGCCATTCTGATCGTGCGCAGAAACCCTTCCATGTTGCGGTCGCATGTTTCATCGTCTAACGCGTCCTCCACACTGTATTGTAAGGAAGATGGGTAAAGTTGGAAAGGCGTGAGTTATGAAGCATATTTGCACGTGATTTCTAGTCATATACAAAACACAGATAAGAGATGAATTTGTGACATTTATGTTTTGTTGAATGAGAAATATCAGTGTTACGAATCCAACCTAAAAAAATGATTTGGTGTAGCACTTTCCCACCCTTGTTCAGAATACCAACCGGCACTTTCGCAGGACGTCAAAATCTGTCCACCTTCGCGAGCCGCGTGGGCCGAAATTCGGCATTTTCAATGTCCCCTGAAATTCGCATCCTTCCTGCAACCCACCACCAGCCCGTTCCACCGCACCCTCCCTCATCAGCACAGAATCTCAAGCACTCACCTCCCTCCCTCCACTCCTTAGTACAAATCGAAGCTCGCAACCACACTTCTCTCCCAGATCAGTCAGACGCAACTACTCGCTCTCTCAATTCCTGCGTCCCTCGAGTCTCTCATCGACGGCTTATGCACAATTTTGCTTATCACACCGCGTGGATGGAGGGCACCTCGGGATCATCAGGTCCTACTGGCGGAGCTCGGGTTTTAGCGCGCCGTGCTTGCGGCTTGACCCACGACGGCACCTCCGCTGAACCCGTACTAGTAATAGGTCCGGCAGGACCTGAAGGCATTCAAAGAGCGAATCCCACAGCTCTCTCATCGAATTCGGCTACGCCCGCGGAAACGAGCGCCAACAGAAACGCGAATATCATTGTATACGGAAACGTCAACGCCAGCACCAACGCCAACGCCAACGCCAACCCTAACGCCAACGCTAACGCCAACGCCAGCGCCAGCGGGGAAGTGGATCACGAATCGCGTTTGGACGACCACCAGCGGCAGCTGAACGAGGCGGCCAAGGCGGCATCGTCATGGGCGGCAGTTTCGTCTCTCACCGCATCCTACTCGACCTGCACGGCTTGCGTCGCCGTGATTGCCGCGCTCGGCGCAACCGCCGCCATCGCGTGGACCAGCGGGGACGCCGCGGAGTCTCCGCGCAAGGAGACTTTCCGCGCGCTTGCGCGCGCCATCGCGGCGACGACCAGCGCAGCGGTGGTGGCGGTGACGGCCACGGCGACCGCGAGCGTGGCGAGCGCGGGCGCGCACGCGTCGACTGTGCTGGCGGAACGGCTGCTTCTGAACGCGGCGGTGCAGGAGCGACGCGCGGAAGCAGCGGCGATAAGGAGGGGACGCGGAGACTGGGGGGCACGCGGAGAATGGTCCAGACATGAAGTGTAAAACGCGCACCACTGCTCTTGCGGAGAGGTGACGTCCAATGCAGAGCCCGCTACCTAAGACACGCTTCCCTCTGCAGTAAGCCGCCACGATTACTAGGAAACCTACAGCTGTCTAAGAACCGTTATCGAGGTCAGCTGTCTGCTGTCCTGGCAGTTTCTGTTTCACGATGCAGTATAAATAGAAAGTGGAATAGCTCTGCTCCATCAAGCATTGCTCGGTAGTTCTCGGCATTGCCCTTGTTTGAAAAAGCGTCTACAACCTACTCGCCTCAACAATGTTAGAAGAGTTAGCGTCTAGATTATCAACTAGCCTCCATCCTGGCGTTTTGATGTAGCATCTGACTGTACAGCTCTTCCCCTGTAGCTGTTTCCCCTGTTAGTATCAATAGCAGTTGTAACTGTAACGCTTCGCTCTAATAAACGCATGTAACAGCAATCCTATGCTCCTCTTCGCGGAATATTTTGGAGGCTGATAGGCTGACGGTGAAAAAACAAGCGGGAAGGCTCTAAAAAGCTACAAGCTTTTCATCTACGTTCGCTAGACTCTTGATTGCTTCACGTCCTCTCTTTACACTTTCGTTTCATTAAGCTGTTCTCCCGCTACACGATGAACTCCGAGTTTACATGATTGCGTTTATTTGTATAGTTTTTTCAGATGTGAAATGTACAGTACCTGAAGTCCAGGATGCCTTTGAGACCGAGTTGCTGCATGCGGTCGAGCGTCGCAACCGCCTCTTCCAGCGTCTCCCCTGCGCAGAAGTGCTTATGCGCTGTCTTCCGCACCCCCCACAGCACCGGCCCCGCCACCAGCGGGATCCGCATCACTGGTGACGTCAGCAGCGCTGAGCTGGCATCCACCACCATCTCGCGCGCCGCCATTTCGAGGTTCAGAATCGCGTTCGCGACCTCTGACGTGGACAGCTGTTGAAACAGCTTCTGCACGTTCTCCACATTGAGCGACTCCGCCGCGGCCGCCGCGTCTCCCGCCGGTCCGCCCGCCGCCTTTCGTGCGGCATCTGCCAGCGTGGACGACGCCACTTCAGCTTTATCGGCGCCACCGCCGCTGCTACCGCTAGAGGAGAAGAAGGGACGCGCGGAGAGGGGCTGGTCAAGAGCAGGATTCACGGCGCTTGCAGCGAATGTGGGGGACAGATGACGAGGAGGTAAGCGGAGAGAGTGGCGGGAGAGGGCGGCTGGCGAAGGGAAAGAGCCAGCGGGTCGGCAGGGAGAGGGGAGATGAGGATGAAAGAAGGACGCCGGGGTTGACAGAAAGCGCCTGCCGACTGAAGGGGAGCTGACGGGCAGAGGAGAACAGTGACCTCCGGCTGTAGCGGTTTCATGACCAGGAGACGTTCCCAAGGGCGGTGCAGAGGCGGAGGGAGCAGAAGGAGGGGCCTGAGATAGCGTGGTAAGAGCTGCCAGAGAGTGCTGGAGGAGGGCCGTTGCTGGAGCGGCTGCGAGGTAAAGGTGGTGGTGGAATCGAGAAGCTGCGCTGAGAGCATGACGTGAGGACGACGAAATTCCGTTGATCGAGGCCGCCATTGTTGCTGAAATGTGGGAGTTCTGTGTTCGAGGTTGAGCAATACGCTGCTGGTAGCAGCCGTGGGAGTTGTCTATTCCGCTGGGGTCTCTACGTGTGACAGGTAGATCCACTCATTGCTCCTATTAAAATCGTACAAGCCGCTTTATATTGTTCGTAAAGCCTGGTTCAGAGAAAGCTGTCTTCGGGGGACCTAGAGGAGAGCGGCTTGAGCGACCTTATAAAAATCGGAAAGCTGGTCTTAGGGTAAACGAGTCTTGAGAATCTGTTTGTTTTAGGCTTCACCAGAGAATGGTCCTAGGATAGTCAGGCGAGTGCAACAACAGAAGCATCGACATTTGCAAACCTAAAGCATGAGCAGAAAAGGGTAAGAAGAAACTAGGCTACGGAGGTCGAGCTGAAGAAGGAAATCAGGTGGTCAGAGAAGTTATGGCTGCCTGAACAAAGACCAGGAAAATGGAAATTTAAAGCGACGGTGCACATTTGCCACCCAAAACCCCAAACCCTGGCGAACTGTTACTGCGGATGGAAAGTGTCCGCACGAAATCCTGGTTTTCGCCAGCCAGCACTTTCGCGCTGGCAAGCCTGGTTAAAAAAAAAAACTTCTGAACCCAACACTGCCAAAAGTTGCCCGTCGCTTTAACATAGCTGGGAGAGAAGAACCAACCGATGCAGTGACGATTTGCATTTGTCAAGCATGACCATGCCGTGGTTCCAGATGGGAGTCGCAGAAGAACGCCAGCGCGACAGTGATTGGCTGACCTGACACCAAACTTTGGCTGCAAGTTTGGCTGAGCTGGAAAATGCGCACGTGATTGACGTGGCTTTTCGCGCCAATGACGAAGTCTGGGACTGGATATTCGCTGAGCTGGCATCCACCACCATCTCGCGCGCCGCCATTTCGAGGTTCAGAATCGCGTTCGCGACCTCTGACGTGGACAAGACTCGATTCCCAAGGCTGTTGGGATTTGGGAATTGGACAAGGGAAAATATGCCGTTCGTAACCATCATGGGACCCGAAAACAATTTTGATAAAAAAATAAAGGGTACGGTCACTGCAAAGGGTGTTTTCACGCGACTGATAAAGGGTTTCACAGAATCAGTCACAATCAGCTGGTTAAAAAAAACGCGAATGGTCATAGATGAAACTCCCGCCAAAACAAAATGAAACCCAGAAAGAACCTGGATGCATTTTCGGATGATCAACCCTAAACACATAACTCGCCAGGTGTTTAGGGTTGATCCGTTCCCAAACCGCATCCGATTCCGATTGGGTTTTAGTTTTTTTACAAGTTCGCAGATTGGTTGGGCGCGAGCGGGAATTTTGTTGAGTTTCAAGTTTTTTTGGCGGGAGTTACATGTGTGACCATTCGCGTGATTTTGTACCTGTTGTTAGTGACTGAATCCGTGACCCCGCTTACCAAACCCGTCAGAAAACCCGATACAGTGACCGTTCAGGTTCTTTTTTGTACCATTCACGTTATCGAGTCCCAAGTTAGTTACTTGTGGCATACTTTCCCATTGGACAATGACTCGGAAATGGAAGGTTACTGTACGCTTCTTCGAAAATAAATGCATACAAAAATTGATTGCACAGACACCTTTTGTCGGAGCAGATAAGGGAATGTATGTGGGTGCACCACCCAAATATATTCAAAGCTTCATGCTGCATCGAAATTCTCCCACCTTCGATTCAACCCAGAAAGTTGTTCCACACCCCAACGCGTACTTCAGGCCCAGAAAGGAAAGGCTTGATAAGCTTTTATCAGTTCACCTGAGCCCCTGAATTCGCCGGGCCCAAAATGGCCCCTCTTCGCGCGTCCGCGCGTCGCGCGCTTACACTGGTCCACGAACGACAACCGTTGATTTCGACTTCTATTCCATCCGTCGAATCAACGGCTGGTACAATGGCAGCGGCCATCACGACAGGAACAACGGCGGGGATCACGGCGGGTAGATCGACGAGGGTCGCTAGATCCTTGCCTTGGCACGGATCCACACCAATTGGCGTCCGTATATGCGGATCGTACGGTCCGTGTCCGTCGCAGCCGCTAAGCGCGCTGTTGGCGCGAGATCAACGGTCTGGATTCATATCCCGGGGAGCTTTAGCAGGCGCGGTGAGGCTGCTGAGGACCAGTGAAGTATGGGGTTCCAGTAACGGCGGATCCGTGCCGTCCACGCTGCCTCGGCAGCCGATCCAACGGCTGGCGACGTCTCAACCGCCGCTTTGCGCGGGGCTTCCGCTTTTGCGCGAATTCAGCGCCTCTGCTGCCGCTGCAGACAAGGGAGGCGAGTCGAATCTGGAAGAGCCGCGGGCTAAAAGCTTCCGCCCTCGCAATCCAAAGGCTTCGTTTCAACGGCTTGGCCAAGACCCCTGGGATCGGACGGCTGGAAGCAGCTGGGCTGTTTCAGATGCAAAAGATCAAATGGGAGGGGTTCGTTCATCTGGGGATCGGACGGCGGAGGGGGATCGCAGGCGGAACGACCGAGGAGGGAGGGGTAGGCGGAAAGAAGGAGGCAGGGAGTGGGAGAGCAGGAAGGAAGGAGATAGGGAGTTGGGAGGAAGGAGGAGAGAGTGGGAGAGCAAAGGTGGGGGTGATAGGGAGGTTTTGAGGGGGAGGGTAGAAGGGAGAGGATGGGAGAGTAGGAGCGGCGGTGGAAGTGAGTGGGATAAGAGGGGAATGGCGAGGGAGTGGGGGAACGGGAGAGAGGAGAACAGAAGCGGGGGTGGCGGAGAGTGGGGGAACAGAAGCGGGGGCGGCGGAGAGTGGGGGAACAGAAGCGCGGGTGGTGGAGGGCGGGGGGAGAGGGGCGGCGCGAGATCATGGGAGCAGCGCGGGTCGAGGAGCAGCCGAGATCATGAGATGGAGAAGCGGGAGCGGATGGGGCAGGGGGGGCGCGGAGTGGGGGATGGCACAAGCAGCGGGAGCGGTGGCAGGGGGAGCTGGGGAGACAGGGGGAGCAGGGAGGACAGGGGGAGCAGGGGGGGAAGGGGGGGACGGGGGGGAAGAGGGGGAAGGGGAGGAAGGGGGAGCAGGGAGGGAAGGAGCAGCTGGGAGGGCAGGGGGAGCAGTGCGGGGAGGAGCAGCTGGGGGGAACGGGGGAGCAGGGGGGGAAGGAGGGGTAGAGGGAGCGGTGGGGGAAGGGGGCGCGGAAGGGGCATGGGGGGCAGAGGGGACATGGGGAACGGGGAGAGTATGGGGGAGATTGGCAGGGGGAGTGACAGCATGGCAGGCGCGCGTAGGGATAGATGGGGGGAGGGAGAAACCGGGGCAATACTAGCTGCGGAAAGTGAGGGGTGGGGGGAGATTGGAACGGGGATAAGGGGAGCAGCGGAAGGACGGCGGAAGGTGGGGGTGGTAAGTGTGAAAGGGGCGGAAAGGGGAGAAAGGGGAGAAGGGGCGGAGGCGGCGGAGGGGGAGGAGGGGTACAAGGGGGTGTATTGGGTGAGCGGGAGTGGGTATAAGGGCACAGGGAGGGATCGACGGCGCGATGTGAGTGGCGCTCTGGGTAGCAGTGGGGATGGGGAGAGGTGGATGGGAGACGGAGATGAGGGGGAGGAGGAGGAAGAAGAAGATGAGGATGAGGAAGAGGATGAGAAGGAAGAGGAGGAAGAGGAGGAAGAGGAGGAAGAAGGAGAATATGAGGAGGATGAAGAGGAAGAGGGGGAGGAGGAGGGAGAGCCGAGAGGATGGAAAAGGAAAGAGACTGGGGTGAAGGTCGACGGGGTTCAGGGTTTTAAGCGCCAGGAATTATCCCAGGGTCTTTCTGCCGAGGAGAAGCAGCAGATCTGGAGAGAATCAAATCTCAATCCAGATCTTCCCCAAGATGCTGACAGGCCGCCCTGGAAAACTCTTCTGGAGAGACCAGCAGTGCCCTACGTGCGTGACGATGCAGCAAAATGGCAACGGAAAATGGTGGAGAAGCGAGCAAGGAGAGACGCTGAGAGTGACAGAGATTGGGAGAGGGGCAGGGAGTGGGAGAGGGACAGGGAGTCGGAGCGGGGTTTAAGCGGGGGTTTCGGGGAGAGGGACCAGGAGGGTGCTGCTGACATGGCAAAGTTAAAGGTGGCGTGGCTGATTGATGAGCTGGCGGTGCTGCGGCCGGCAGCGATCGTGAAGCTGCTGAACGCGCAGCGGGCGTGGATAGGCATGGAGCATGTGGAGGGGGTGGTCAGGGGGCTGCTGGGACGAGAGGAGACTCTGCGGGCTATCCGGGTATGTTTGGTCCTATGTCTAGCCTCCTGGTCTTCGAATGTGACTTCTTTTGAGGCGCCTCAAAACTATTTCTAGCCTCCTGGTGTTCGAATGTGATATGGGGGTTTGGGGTTTAAGGGGTGGTCAAGGGCCTGGAGGGGTTTGGAGGGTTTTGGGGGTTCGGGCGCTCCAGACGCTCAAGGCAGTCAAGTGGGCCCACCAAACCGCATTCTATGCGCCCATCCTCTCGCTCTACGCAGCCCACTCCCTGTCACCCTGCTCCCCTCCCTTTTTCCCCTCCCCCCCTTCCCCACCGCCTCTTTAGGCGCTCAAATGGGCGCGCCAAACCGCCTTCTACGCCCCAATCCCCTCCCTCTATGCCTGCCTGCTGTGTCAACTCACTCCCTGTCCCTTTTCTCCCCTTCCCGACCCCCCTCGTCCCCCCCACTGCAGGCGCTGAAATGGGCGCGCCAAACCGCCTTCTACGCGCCCATCCCCTCCCTCTATGCTGACATGCTAGACGCAGCAACGGCCAATCAGCACGTGCCACGCGCGCAGGAGCTTTTCGACATGATGCTGACTCACGGGCTGGTGCCCCCTAGGCGGAACTACGAGGGGCTGATCCGAATGTTCCTAAGAGAAAGGCGACGGTTGCAGGAGGGGAAGGGCCCGAGTGGGGAAGGGGAGGAGGAAGACGGAACTGGAGGTCGGGAGGGGAGCAGAGCGGTGGAGAGCGGTGGAGAGGCTGGGAGAGGGCCCGGGGGGTTCACGGGGTTTAAGGAGATGAAACAGGCTGAGAAGGCGGCGGCAGAGGTGGAGAGGGGTTGGGAGGTGTACCGGCAGATGAAGCAGTTTGCCGAGCTCACCCCCAGCAGGGCTGTACAGGAGGAGATCTGGGCAGCACTGACTGGAGGAGGCAGTGTCACTCTCAGGGGCAGCTCTGGGCGACACCTGGTGAAAGCAGAAGAGTTGCTGAGAGACATGGAGGCTGGGGAGGGGATGGGGGACGGGGAGGGGGGAGGGGAGGGGGGAGGGGAAGGGGAAGGAGAAGGAGAAGGGGAGGGGGGTGAAGTGGGGGAGAAGGAAAAGGAAGGGGTGCGTTTGCGTATTGATTCCCGTGCCCGTGCCGCCCGGTATGCGCTACTGTTGCGCCATGCCGGCCTTGCAGGTGACGTGGCACGCACCGAGAATTTGCTCTCGCGGATGCGGGCGGCCGGAATACCGCCGAATTCTGCCGCCCTGGAGGCGCCAGTTGTCGCGTGCGCATTGGCCGGGAAGAGGAGGAAGGATTGGGAGGGGGGAGGAGTGGGTGGGGGGAAAGGAGGTGAGGAAATGAAGGGGGGAGGGGGAGGAGAAAGGCTGTTGAGTTTGGCAGAGAGAGCAGAGAGGGGGATTGAAGAGCTTGAATCGGAAGGTTTTCTGCCCGGGCAGGTGGTGCTGGCAGCGCTGATGGAAACTTACAACCACTCCGGGCAGCATGAAAAAGTTTTGCAGGTGTGGCCGAGAGTGGTGGAGTCTGGTAGCAAGTTTTCTAAAAGGGTGAAGATAGATACTGGGATGGCGGAGGGGGGAGGGGAGGAAGGGGAGGGGGGAGAGGAGGAAGGGGAGGGGGGAGAGGAGGAAGGGGAGGGGGGAGAAGGAGAATTGGAGGGGGGGGAAGGGAAATCGGAAGGGGGAGGGGACGGGGCATGTGATATAGTAGCAGGTGGCAAAGCGGTGATGGTGAGAGCTTATAACGCGTATGTGGAGGGTTTGGTGGGTGCGGGGGAGATGGGGAGGGCGGAGGAGGTGGTGGGGGAGATGGCAGCTGAGGGAATCCCTGGGGTGCACCTGAGGGAGGCTTATCTGTCGCTGCTGAGAGGGTATGTTCGGATGGGTGGGAGAGGGGGAGGGGAAGGGGGGGTAGTGGAGGGGATAGAGCAGGGAGGGGGAATGGGAGAAGGTGGGGAAGGGGAGTGGAGTGGAGGAGAGGGGAGGGAAGAGGCACGGAAGTCTTTGGAGGCGGTGGGTGGGTGTTTCCGAGCCATGGTTCAGGCTCGGTGCGAGCCGAACCAGGAGGCTTGGAACCTGTACATCCGGGCGTTGATTCAGGCTGGGAAGGTTGAAGAAGCTTTGAAGGTGTATGGAGCGATGCATAGCGGTGAAGAGGCAACAAAGAAGAGAAAAGGGAAAATCAAGTGTGGGGGGAGGAAGAAGGGGAAGGGGGTAGCGGTGGGTGCAGGGACGACTGAAGGAGGGAGTGAGGGGACGGGTGAAGCAGGGAGAGTTACGGTGATTGGTTCGGGCTTGGATGGAGGTTTGGCAGTGAGGTTCGGGCCGAACCAGGAGACGTACAACATGGTGATAGCTGCTGCTGGCGCCGCTGGTGATGTTGACACGGTCCGATCTGTCTACACCGATTTGAGGGGTGGCGCTCCTCTTGCTGCCCGTGCTCCTGCTGCTGCTGCTGCTGCTTTCGAGGTAGGGGACACAGAGGAAGAGGGAGAGGAAGAGGGAAACGAAGAGGGAGAAGCTGTTGGGGCAATGGTGCGAAGCGCGCCTGCAAAGCTTAAAGCCAGACTACTCGGTCCGGCGAGGCAAGCCGCCCTGCGAGCGGTCGGCAGGAGGCGTCTGCTAGCGGACGAATCCGCAGGGCTGAAGCTCTCGCAGGAGCAGCGGCAGATCTTATCCGGGCTGATCCTCGCTGGCGCTGATGTGGCGAGCGATGACGGGGCCGCGACGGCGGCGGTGCGGTTTGCGGTGGCGGCGGGGGAGGAGAGGAGGGAGAGGGTGATTGAGCACCTGTATGAGGTGTTTGGGGAGTGGGCTGCTGGTCCGATTGTGGAGGAGGAGGTGAGTTTAGATGGGGATGGGGATGAGAGTGGGGAGGTGAGGGGAAGAGTGGGAGGGAGAGCAGCGGGCGAGGAGGGGGAGGAAGGGGAGGAAGGAGGGAACAGAGAGGGGGAGGAGGAGGGAAACAAGGATGGGGAGGGGGAAGAGGGTGACTGGAAGGACCAGGCTGTGGGTACCATGGGCAGCCTGGGCAGCACGGGCAGATCGGGCAGTACAACGGGCAGGACGCAGCGAGTGCTGACATTCAGCACGGTGCCACACCCCTCCCTGGTGTTCTACCTCCACCAGTACCGCCCTGAGAAGCAGGATGGCCGGGCCGTGGTGCCCCGTCTCGTGCACAAGTGGCTCACCCCCCGCGCCCTTGCCTACTGGTACATGTATGCTGGTCAACGCGGTCAACCCAGTCAACGGGGAACACGTGGTCAGCCCGAAGGGTCGATTATTCTGGATGCGGGGATGTACCAGGCGAAGGAGGTGGCGCTTATAGTGAAGGCGCTTAAAGCGAGGACTATTGACTGTGCCCAGAGCAAGAGGGGGAAGGGGAGCAAGGGGCAGCGGGCTGTGAGATTTTCGGGGCCCTCGGCTCAGTTCCTATGGAAATTCATGGAGCCATTTGTTTTGGAAGAAGTGAAGGTAGAATTGAGTCCTGTGGTTGGGGGTAGGAGTGGGGGAGGGAGGAGGGGAGGAGGGAGAGTGGGGTTGGGAAAGTTCACTGTGGGGGAGGGAGGGGTGGTGGTGGGAGAGGAAAAGTTTGTGGGTGGTGCGAAGGGCGTGGCGAAGGAGGAAGCTCGGGAGAGCGAAGAGGACCGGCGGGAAGGCTGGGTGAGTTTGACTCGGGCCGTGAAGGAGGGGAAAGAAGGAGGTTACACTAGTTGATTTTGCAGTGTGTGTTGGTAATGTGTACTTCTCACTGATGGCAGGGGGGGGGGTTCCTGTGTGAAATTGGTATTTGTAGTTGGCATTACTGTAGTCGTTCCAAGTTGGGAGTGCGGATTTGTTAGTGAAGTGATTTCCTTATAGAGGGGTTACGTGGCAGTCTGTCCAGCAGCAAATTGAGGATTGCTAAATTTCAGATGTTGCTTACATCAGCACATGTTGTCGTCTTCGGCGGGCAACCTGAAACGTCGATAGAGACTATTTGTGTTACAGGCTCAATCGACCACTTCGATGCAGGTTGATGGGTCCCAATCTCCTGATATTCTGGGCGCGCCAAATGACGTGGGACTTGGTGGCTGGGACAGGGCAGGGCTCCTGATTTGTGTAGCCCGGAACCAGTCAAGTAAGATGGGACTTCCGAAGGATGAGGTTGCGGGGTCAAACCCCAGTGCGGGCGAGTTCTGCCAGCCCCCCAGAAGGAGGTTTCGCACTGCTCATCTGGGAGTGGATATTCCTTACCTCGATACCCAGCGAGGCGTGTAAATAAGTGGGTAGGCGGATTATGATCGACAGCCGGGGAACACCAAATGGGGTTTCGCCTCAAACCTTAACCTGGAACCAAGATCTATGAGACTGAGCTGAGCCCGTAACAGCCCTGAAATTTACGGTAAGCAGCCAAACCTAGCCCGATAAGCGGAAAAATATCTGCACTTCAAATCAGGCTGAAAGAGTGTTCACCACTTGGCGTGCTCGAAACTTGCCCGAAAATCTCAGGGTAATCGATAAATGCTCCTTTTGGCGACAGCCTTTGTCGGGGAGGAGGTTCAACCAATCCCACAGGCGCGCAGCATTTGAATTCGGGCACAGCCCGCACGCGCTGTCACCATTCGGCCACGCCATTCGCCCCGCCACGCCACGTCACCGCCAAAATATTGAGTCACAGCACATTTGCGTTGATTCAGAGGCTAGTCACCACCAGTTTTCCCCGATATTCACTCTCAACGATTCCAGCCTAATTGCTGCCAGATTTACCAACCTTACTTACATTCAACGACTGGCACTTACCAGACTTGCCAACGATTTTATCCCTACCCGTCAGTCACTTTCACAAATTACGACTCCTCCTGTCCACACGCATCGCTGCAGGTGAACGCGCCTCGCATTCCCAACCTTCACATCAGCAAAAATCAACAATCTGGACCGGCCTAGCCTAGCGAATTTGTTTGTCCTGCCTGATCATGGATAGCGGCGGTTCGGTCGGTGCTCCAATAGCCTTTCGACTTTTCGAACCTCGCCTCGCCACTTCTCCCACTGTACTCCCCTCCCCACCCCACAAGCCCTTTCGACCTCCGCCATTTTCGTTTCTCCACCGTTTTCGCATTCTTGCATCCTCGTTCTCAACATGTGGAAGGAAGCTCCCGACAGGCAGTGCTGCTGCTTCGCTCTCTTGCAGCCACGAGGGGCCTCGTCATGCCTCACGTCACCATTAGCGACCACCAAAAATCCGTCGGTAAAAGACTACTAACAACTCTTCTTTGTTGTTTCTTAAATCTACGACGCTTTTCCGAAACTTGCGTTTCCTTTCACTCTGCCATTGCGTCCCGTAGTTATCAGGCCTGCTGCAAGCGTTTAGAGCCGGCGACGTAGACATCGTATCGCGGTTTTCCCGCTCATTAGATTAATAGCATCGAAGGCCAGAAGATTAGTAGCATCGTTCATTCCTCCGACCTATGGATACCGTGATGGAATTTGCCGACTCGCGCCATTTATGGGGCTCGCTCGCAGTTCTCGTCGCATCGTCGCTCGCACTGCTCCTCTATCGCGTCGTCTGGCTTCCCTATCGCCTCGTCGTCGCATGCAAACGACAAAACATTCCGTTCCTGCCGTTCCGGCCTCTCATTGGCCAGATTCCCGAGCTACAGTCACAGTGGCAAGTCAAGGACCCCATTTCGCCTGCCACGTCAGCACCACTCGGCCCGGAGACGGTCACTCCGCTGCTGTGCGACTGGATTGCGCGATACGGGACGGTGTTTGGATTCGCCGCCGGCCCGCAACCGGCGCTGGTGCTCGCGGATCCGGATCTTGTGCAGCAGGTGCTGATCGGACGGTCGGGATGCTTTCAGAAGATGCCGGCCGTGCAACGCGCGCTGAGCTTCGTGGGAGACGGCTTGCCGTTTGTTGACGGCGAGGAGTGGCTGCGGCAGCGCAAGGCCGTCAACCCCTCGTTCAGCCATGGCGCCATCAAGGTGCGACGCGTGAGCCGTCATTTTCGGAAAACGCACGCGCCGCTCCTCGGTTCCCGCTCCCGTGCCTCTCGCCGTTCGCCGCTCGTTGCTCGCAGCTCGCCGCTTTCGTTCCGCTCGTCGTTTCTGTCTCGCGACTACATTTCCCCCGTTTCCCGTTTTCTCTCCGCGGCTTCCCCAGCACGCGCTCTCCCTGTTCCGCGATTCCAATTTCCCCGAGATTCTATTCTCTTCCCCTCCCCTTCCGCAGCACGCGCTCTCCGTGATGAACCGCCAGGCGCGCAAGGGCGTTGCGCGGCTGCTGCAGCGAATAGCGCGTGCAGGCTGCGAAGATTCGAGCGGAAATCATGCGGCATGTTCGGCGGACGGAGAGCGGGATGCGGAAGAGCGCTTGACGCAAGGGGGGCGGTCCGCGCATGGCCGCACGGAGCAAGAGGGGCGCGAGGTGGAGATCCAGGAGGTGCTGTTCGCGGTGACTCTTGACGTCATCGGGCTCGCCGTGCTCGGCGCCGCCGTCAGCGGCGGTCGTGGCCGCGCCACCGCTGGCGTGAGCACGCTGAACGCGGGGAACGCGGCGACGGAGGGGGTGGCGGATTCGGGGGCGGAGGGGGAAGAGATTGCGGGGAAGGAAGATGAGGACGACGAGGAAGAGTGGGAGGGGGAGGAAGAGGAGGTGGAGGGGGAAACGGTGGTAACAGAGGGAGGGAAGGGGGCAGGGGAGAGGGGAGGGGAGCGCGGAGGGGAGCGGGGGGTGGCGGGGATATACACGGTGCTGCACTCGCTGGTGATTAAAGCCATAGCGCGGTTCTTTTCAGGACGGGTCTTCATCCCGCTCTACACGTACGTCTACCTTACTGCTTTCCACCACTCCTTTCTCCTCTGTCTCACACCACCTGCTGCTTCCATTCCCTTCGAGGCTCCTCAAAAGACCTTTCCCCGTCGACACTCGGTGGATGTTTCGAGTGACTTAAAACCCTTCCCCCCACGCCCCTCCCTACTCTCCCCGCGCCTCTTCCGCCAAACTCTCCCCCACCCCCTCATCTCTTCAGACTCCTCCCCACGCCTGAGAATCGCACGCTGTGGGCGGTGGAGCAGCGGTTCCGCCAGCTGTTTGGGGAGCTGATCGCGCGCAGGGCGCAGGGGGGCGCGCAGGGGCGGCTGGGGAAAGACATTCTGGCGGCGCTGCTGGCTGCGGAGATGAGGCGCGAGGAGGAGACCCGCGCTGCTGCTGCTGCTGCTGCTGCTGCTGGTGGCGGTGGTGGTGGTGGTGGTGGTGTGTTGTCGGCTGCTCTGGTGAACAGAGTGGTGAATCAGTGTGCGACACTCATCATGGCAGGTCAGTTCCTTCAAATTCAAACAAGCAGACTCTCTTTGGTTTCACGTGCCTGCGAGATTCGCAGGGTAAGAAACTGCTGCTGTCGTTGCTGTTGCTGCTGTGTTTTCCCCGTCCCCTTCCCCATCCCCGCCCAGGCCACGAGTCAGTGGCTGTGCTGGTGATGGGTTTAGGGTTCATGTACCTGCTGGCACCGCATTGCACCTCACCGCATTGCACCTCACCGCATTGCACCTGACTGTTCCCCTCTCCACCCTCCAGGCCACGAGTCAGTGGCGGTGCTGGTGATGTGGAGCATGTACCTGCTGGCCCGCCACCCAACCTCACTTGTGCTCTGCTCTTCAGTCTGACCCCCTCGCTCTCGCGTTTTTCCTCATTGTCCCGTCCTTATCTCAGGCCACGAGTCAGTCGCGGTGCTGGTGATGTGGAGCATGTACCTGCTGGCCCGCCACCCGCACTGGCAGCACCGGCTCCGATCCGAGGTGGTCCGCGTGGTGGGAGGCGGAGGAGGAAGGGCAGACAGGGAGGCAGAGGCGGATAGGATGGCCGAGAAGGCTGAGAGGGAAGACGATGTTGTGCGGGATGATGGAGCAGAGAGCAGCAGCAGCAGCAGCAGCGACAGCAGTGGTAGCAGCGAGGATGGCATGGACAGTGACAGCGAGAGTGACGCCAGCAGCAGCGACAGCACAGCCAGAGCGAGACACAATTCTCACCATGACAACACGGTTAAGGCAACACACGCACAAACAGCAGAAACACACGCAGCAGACACACGAGCAGCAGAGGCAAGCAGGGCGGAGATCACATGGGAGCATGCGACGCAGCTCAAAGACATGCACCTGGTGCTTCTCGAAACGCTTCGTCTCTTCCCCCCCGTGCCCGTCGTCACGCGCACGAGCAAGCAGGACGTGCGCATCGGCCCCTATGTCATTCCCAAGGGTGTGGACCTGTTTCTGCCTGTCGGGTGCTTGCACGCTGACGAGCGGTACTGGGGACCCGACGCGCGTGAATTCAAGCCTGAGAGGTTTCAAGGTGAGAGAATAACATGCTGGGTTGTACCGGGGTGGTGTTGCATAGGATGTGCACATCGCTCCCTACATCGTTCCCACAGGTATCACCGTGGATATCACGGGTATCCCTGCATAGGATGTGCACATCGCTCCCTATCTCAGTCCCAATGAAGTGGACCTGTTCCTTCCTGTGGGGTGCTTGCACGCCGACCAGTGGTCGTTTTCATGAGTTGAGCTTGCAAGTTTCAATAACATTCTTCTGCCTCCCTCCCCACTGGTCCTCCCTGCACCCAACCCACAGACGGGCAGCAAGCAGCGTGCTCACACCCGCAGGCCTTCATCCCTTTCTCCAGTGGTCCACGGGACTGCGTTGGAGCCATGTTTGGATTTACCGAGGCTAAGATCATCCTCTCGCACTTACTCCTCAATCTCTCCTGGAGTATATCGCGTTCGTATCAGCATCAGCCTACTGCTGCTCTCACAGCACAAGCAAAACATGGCATGCCGCTTCTGTTTACAGAGATTTAGATTCCGTGTCCTGCATGTAAAAAGATGGTAAGAGTTGAGTTCTTTGAACGCCAATACATTCCTGGGAACTTTATGCTAAAATATAGAACAGTTACCTACAGTGCAAAAAGAAATTGCGCTAAATCTCACAACGGAAACAAAAGTATCGAGCACTGAGAGATTCGAACTCTCGCGGGCAGAGCCCATGTACTTAGCAGGCACACGCCTTAACCACTCGGCCAAATGCTCTTTTTGTGTCAGAGAAGAATATTATTAGGATACTTGTATTAACGATTTTAAAACTTTGAAATTTCGAACAAGCCGTTCAGAGTCTGCCTCCGCGCGCTTCCCGAGGTTGAATTGAAGGTCAGGTGCAGCGACGCGGTCACATGGATTTTTGCTCCCAAGCCTTCTTCCTCAGTGGCCCATTCCCAGTGTTCGTCAATCCCAGTGCCGTGAGCTGAAACCTTTTGTAGTTTCTCTGGTGTAAGATGCTCGAGGAGACGAGGCAATGTTGCAGTAGGCAGCATCCTAGTTAAATATTCCTGTCATTCCTTAGTTGCCACGCGTAGAGTTTTTATCGTAACTCTAAGTGGAACGTCCATTGTAGTGTTTTAGTCCAATTTGTTAAGCTGGTCGCCATGGAAAGGGCAACCAGGTCGCGTAGAGCTGTAGACTCCGCGACCACCTCTCGCAAGAGCGCGCTTGCGGAACTCGCTGCGCACCGCGCCAGCCGCCAGTCCGGCTCCGCTCCGCCGCCTGTCGACGGCGACGATGCCGGCGATCAGGGCGACCAGGCTGTGCGACGCAAGCGACGGATCGACACGTTCGAGCTGAAGGAGGAGGATCGCCTGTACGACGTCGTCGACGAGTCGGAGTACCAGAAAATCGTCGCACAGCGTCGCGCGGCGGGTGAGAACTTCGTCGTGGACGACAACGGGCTGGGGTATGCGGACACGGGTCTGGAGGACGTTTGGGACCGACGCGATGAGGACGACGACTCGTGGGACGAAGACGAGGACGGCGGCAGACGGAAGAAGAAAGAGAAGAAGCCTGCGGGTTAGTAGCTTTTGTCGTACAGTTCGCTTTACAATTGTTTGCGGGTCTCTCGTTTGTTTCTCTCCGCCCTTGGTCGTTGGGTGACTTAAAGTCCAATTGGCAGTTTTATCTTGTTGTATGGCCACGCTTGGCTGTTAGCTTGCCTGACTCGGGCTTTAAATGCTGCACATTAGTTTACGCAGCCTTAGTTTTGGTTCCCTGGCACTCATCTTTTGTGTAGCACTAAGGACGTTACTCGTGGCAAATAGACGTCAAGCGGTATCTTGTTTCTTGGCCTCCGAGGTGGCTTTTAAGTTGACTCAGAAGTTATCTTATTTCTTGGCCTCCTTTTTTCCGCTCCCCACGTTAGGGCCCAGGCCGCGCCGAGAGGGCGTCGCCGCGCGGAAGGCGCTTTCCGCAGCCGCGGCCATGATGGGGAAGCGCCGCGGCGCCTCCAACATGTTCGCCGCTGCCGGCGCACGTGCCGGCGGGCGGCAAGCTTCGCAGGCACTGCCGGCCGGCGAGGCGCAAGCGGCGGAGGCGCTGCTGGAGGAGCTGATTAACGACATCGGCGCGGACGCGCATGAGCGCTTGCCCGACAAGAGAAGACGGAGAGGTGCGGTCCAATTGAGTGGGTTGGTTCGTCTCGACGTGTGCGTGGTTTCGCTGTGGGTTCCTCTGCAGGTTTTGCTCGGGTGGCATGGCGGGATTGCGGCTGAGTGTGCATAAGTTCAGCTTCTAGCGCTTAATCTCCGCAAACGTTCGAATTGTGCCTCTCGACCTCCACCATCGCCCAACGTCCCTTGTCCTCTCCGACTCATCCCGTCATTCTTCCGTCCCTTCCTCTCCCTCCCGTGGCTTGGTGACGTTTTCACTCGCATTCGTCAGGTGGCGGCGTGGCTGTGACCGTTACGCCCTCCCCGTGGCGTCCACTCGCGCAGCACGCGAAGCCCCCCGTCTACCCCGACGATTTCCACGACGCACCTGTCGTCACGCCGTCAAACGAGCCGGTCGTTTCTGCCGACCGACAGCAGCAGCAAAATCAGCAGCCGCCACCGGCGCCATTTCCCGACGGCTCACCCTTTCCCGAAATGATCCCTGCTGCTGGGGCACGTGAGCACGAAGGGGTGAATGCCGTTACTGCTGGTGGAGGGGCAGGTACGGGTTCCGGGTCACCTAGTGTTAAAGCAGAAGCTAATAGCAACGCCGGGGTAAACGGTGGTGGAGCTGGTATGACGACAGGCGTTAACGTAGAGTCTGGAGAGGAAAAAGTATCAGGAGCAGCGGCAGGTGAAGGAGCTGGTATGACGACAGGCGTTAACGTAGAGTCTGGAGAGGAAAAAGTATCAGGAGCAGCGGCAGGTGAAGGAGCTGTAGCTGGGAGTGGTCCGGTAGACGGAGGGCAGTCAACCAAACCGGATACCGCCGAGGCAGGCCAGGCGCCGAAGCTGCATGCTAGGCTCGGAGCGCTGGCTCAGGAGGAGAACGCGTCTGCGGCTTGGCACTCTGTCAGCCGAGGCTCGGCAGCAGGCTTGGCAGACGAGAAGGGTGGCAGCCCTGGCAGGGCCGGCGCAGCAGCGGGAGGGGATAAAGGGGGATGGGCGGGGGCGGCTGTAGCAGGGCAAACGGCTGTAGCGGGGAGTGCGGCTGTAGCAGGGTTAGATGCGCCTGTGAACGTGGAGGGGCTTCCGCTGGACGCAGATGGGAAGCTTCCGTTCTTCTTCCTAGATGCGGTGGAGGAGTCTTATGGCGCGCTTCAGGGCACGGTGTTCCTCTTTGGCAAGGTGAGAGGGGGTCTGGGAGAGAGTAGGGGGGGATGCTTGGGAAGAGGTAGGCGAGTCGTACGTGAGCTGCTGCGTAGCATGCACGACTTGCAGTAGTGCGTGTTTACCGTGCCTCCCCAATTGCAAACTCCCATGACCTTTTGCCCTTCCACCATCCCACTTGCCCCCCAAGCAGGTCCCTGTAAAGCAAGACACGAACACCAGCAATCCCAGCGCCAGCGGGTCGTTCGTGAGCTGCTGCGTGGGCGTCCAGGGCGTGCAGCGGTGCGTGTTCGCCGTGCCTCGCGAGGGGCTGTTTGAGGACCCTCAGCTGGCCGTGCTGGAGGCGGAAGAGCAGCAGGCCCGGGAGGAGGACGCGGGGAAAGCGGGGGGTGGGCAGAAGGGCAAGGGCGGTGGGGCGAAGGGGGGAAACAAGGGCGAGGAGGAGTCGGAGAGAGTGAAGGCTGCCCGGCTCAAGAAGATGCGCAAGCTGCATGTGAGAAGGCTGATGAGGGCGCTGAGGAGGGGGTGCGGAAATGGGGTGTACGGACGAGGTTTGGGGATGGGGTTCAGGAATTGGATTATGGGAGGGGGTTCAACCAAGGCTTGAGGATATGATGTTTTACCTACAGGGGGATAGTGAACGCGTTGCTAGTCCTTAAAGCCCATCTTCCCACTCTTTCCCACATCCCCATCTCCCCATCTTCCCACTCTTTCCCACATCCCCATCACCCCATCTTCCCACTCTTTCCCACATCCCCATCTCCCCATCTTCCCACTCTTTCCCACATCCCCATCTCCCCATCTTCCCACTCTTTCCCACATCCCCATCTCCCCATCTTCCCACTCTTTCCCACATCCCCATCTCCCCATCTTCCCACTCTTTCCCACATCCCCATCACCCCATCTTCCCACTCTTTCCCACGTCCCCATCACCCCATCTTTCCACTCTTTCCCACATCCCCATCACCCCATCTTCCCACTCTTTCCCACATCCCCATCTCCCCATCTTCCCACTTCCCCATCCCCCAATCTACCCCATCTCCCCACTTCCCCATCCCCCCCATTCCCCGGATTACCACAGGAGCTGGCCACGCCACTCAAGGAGGAAATTCGCCAGCGACTCATGGAGCGCCACGTGTCCTCCTTCTGCATGATGCCAGTCAAGGTGGGTCGCCTGCTGACTGCCCCAGAGTCCTCACTAGCAGCAGCTCACTGTATGGAGTAAAAATCTCTTGATTCGGCCTGAATGTTTTTGCTTGGATTCGTGTGAGAATCTGTGCTCATGTGCGTTCATCCTGTGCTCATGTGCGTTCATCCTGTGCTCATGTGCGTTCATCCTGTGCTCATGTGCGTTCATCCTGTGCTCATGTGCGTTCATCCTGTGCTCATGTGCGTTCATCCTGTGCTCATGTGCGTTCATCCTGTGCTCATGTGCGTTCATCCTGTGCTCATGTGCGTTCATCCTGTGCTCATGTGCGTTCATCCTGTGCTCATGTGCGTTCATCCTGTGCTCATGTGCGTTCATCCCTGCCTGACTGTTCGCCTCTCTGCTGTGTCATTGTCTCTCCCTGTCACACGCAGCGTTCATACGCGTTTGAGAGGAAGGATATCCCACGAGGCGAGCAATATGTGCTCAAGATCACATACCCTTACGCGGTAGGCTTGCAAGCGCCATGACGACTGATTGATTGTCTTCCGGTTTTGCTAGCTCCCTGACTGATTGGATGCTCACTGTGGTTGTTGGCTGTTCCTCTCACTGCATCTCGCCTCTTACTGTACCTCTCACCGCACCTCTCACTGCGCCTCTCATACCTCTCTCTTACTGCGTCTCTGTTGATAACTGCAGGATGCCCCTCTGCCTTCAGACCTCACAGGCACGCACTTCAGTGCCGTGCTGGGTACCCACACCAGGTGAGACGAGAGGGCTCTATTAGCTGGTTGCAACCCCAGGCCAGATAACTTGTTCTTTCATTTCTTGTAGACTGGACAGGGGCACAATTTACTGCTAGGAAGGTTGTCACAGAGAAGTCCTCTGGACACTCAACCAAACTCCACCGCAATCCACTGCGCTCCACCCCACCCCACCCCGGCAGTGCACTGGAGCTGCTGCTGCTGAAGCGGCACCTCAAGTGCCCCTGCTGGCTGGCTGTGGACCGCCCCACCTGCATCCACCCCTCCTCCCAGGTCCGTGCCTCAGAATAAACATGTGATAAAAGTGTTGTTTTGAGACGTCTCTAAACAACACTTCTATCACGAGGCGCCTCAAGTGCCCCTGTTGGCTGGCTGTGGACCGCCCTACCCGCATCCACCCCTCCTCCCAGGTCCGTGCCCCGTCCCAAGTCATAAACACGTGTAGGTTGACTTTTGAGTCAACTCATAAGTCAACCCGCCCCACCCGCATCCACCCCTCCTCTCAGGTCCGTGCCCCGTCCCAATACATACACACGTACGTGTAGGTGTGAAATGGAATAGAACCGTAATCACCTCCGTGTTGGTGTTTGACCTTTTTATTGGATCATTGATCGGAGCATTCCTTGACTGCTTCTCGTCCCTCGTCCATGCTCCTCCCTCGTCCACACTCCTCTCGTCTGCCTTCCACCCCTAGTGCCCCATTCATTCCCACCAGAGGAGCCACTGCAGGGTGGGGGTATCAGTGGCATCACCCAAGCTGGTGGCGCCAGCAGCAGCAGACAGCGACCCTCCGCCCCTGGTGGTGACGTCATTACCATCCCCTTCCCCTACACTCACTGTCTATCCTCGCTCTTCACCCCACTTAATCCGCTCTGCCCTCCCACCACAGGAGCCACTGCAGGGTGGAGGTATCAGTGGCATCACCCAAGCTGGTGTCGCCAGCAGCAGCAGACAGCAACCCTCTGCCCCTGGTGGGGGCATCTTCTCTCCCCTTCCCCAACACTCACTGTCTATCCCCGCTCTTCACCCCACTTAATCTCGTCCGTTCATTTCTACCAGAGGAGCCACTGCAGGGTGGAGGTATCGGTGGCGTCACCCAAGCTGGTGTCGCCATCAGCAGCAGAGAGCGACCCTCCGCCCCTGGTGGTGGCATCTTTGAATGTGAAGACGGTGGTGAACCATGGGAAGAATGTGAATGAGGTTGCTGCTGTTTCAGTCGTCTTCTGCCGTAATGCCAAGGTTAGTAGTAGGGTGGTGGTGTGCGGTGCCAAGTGGTGGGGAGGTGCAGTGCGGAGTGGTGTGCTGGTAAGGACGCTTGTGGTGGCGCCTCTGATCGTGAAGACGGTTGTGAACCATGGGAAGAATGTCAACGAAGTCGCTGCTGTTTCAGTCGTCTTCTGCCGTAATGCCAAGGTTAGTAGTAGGGTGGTGGTGTGCGGTGCCAAGTGGTGGGGAGGTGCAGTGCGGAGTGGTGTGCTGGTAAGGACGCTTGTGGTGGCGCCTCTGATCGTGAAGACGGTTGTGAACCATGGGAAGAATGTCAACGAAGTCGCTGCTGTTTCAGTCGTCTTCTGCCGTAATGCCAAGGTTAGTAGTAGGGTGGTGGTGTGCGGTGCCAAGTGGTGGGGAGGTGCAGTGCGGAGTGGTGTGCTGGTAAGGACGCTTGTGGTGGCGCCTCTGATCGTGAAGACGGTTGTGAACCATGGGAAGAATGTCAACGAAGTCGCTGCTGTTTCAGTCGTCTTCTGCCGTAATGCCAAGGTTAGTAGTAGGGGTGGTGGTGTGCGGTGCCAAGTGGTGGGGAGGTGCAGTGCGGAGTGGTGTGCTGGTAAGGACGCTTGTGGTGGCGCCTCTGATCGTGAAGACGGTTGTGAACCATGGGAAGAATGTCAACGAAGTCGCTGCTGTTTTCGTGGTCTTCTGCCGCAATGTCAAGGTTAGTAGGGTGGTGCTGTGCGGTGCCAAGTGGCGGGGATGTGCGGTGCGAAGTGGTGCGCTGGTAAGGACGGTGGTGGTGGCGTCTCTGAATGTGAAGACGGTGGTCAACCATGGCAAGAATGTGAACGAGGTGCTGTTTCGGTGGTGTTTTGAGTAGCGAGAGTAGTTCTGTGCGGTACCAAGTGGTGCTGAGTGGTGCCCGGTAAGGGCGGCGTGGCATGTTACTGAACGTGAAGAGGGTGGTCAACAATGGAAGAATGTGAACGAAGTTGCTGCTGTCTCGGTGGTGTTCTGCCGCAATGCAAAGGTCAGTTGGTAGTGAGAGCGGTCCTGAGCTGTACAGTGCGGTGCTGTGCATTGAACGGAGCGGTTTGCCATGTGATTCGTGTTGTGTGAACATGAGATGGTGGTGTGTGTGTGTGAACCATGGCAAGAATAACGGGTGAGTGACAGTGCCCTTGCTGGCATTTGCTGGTCTGTGCTCTGGTTTCTGCCTTCTCCATTCATCCCACCCCTCCACCCCCATGCTTCTCCTTTCCCCCTGCCCCAACCCTCCTCACCAGATTGATCGACCAATGGCGCGCAGCGAGTGGAGTGGGGCGGCGTCGCTTGGACACTTCTCAGTGCTGAGGCGGCTGGAGGGGGTGATGTCCCCCGTGGGATTCGATTCTGCCATCGCTTCAGCCAATCAGAGGGCGGGGCGGGATGGGCCAGTGCTGAGCAAGAAGGGAAGGTGAGTGAGTGAGCAAGTGAGTGATTGTGAGTGTGAGTTTACTTGACTCACAAGTCTAGTTCCACCATCCCACCCACACCTTTCTCAATGCATGTAATCTCCATTCCTAACTGTGTGGATTCTGGACAATGTGTAAATCCAAGCCAATCCCCTTCCATTCCTCCCTCTCCTCCTCCCCACCTAACCCTCTCAACCCATCCACCATGTGCCTATAGCGAGAGGGAACTGCTGAGCTATCTGCTGGCGCGAATGGGGCGGCTGGATGCTGACGTCATCATAGGACATGGGCTTGCAGCTTTTGATCTCACTGTGCTGCTGCAGCGCATGCAGGTGGGCGCTCAGGTGTTTTTTCAGATAGTGTCTTATTTTTTTGTTATCCTGAGCCTTGTTTCCACATCAATCTGCTCTTGGCCCAACACCCTGTACGTCCCCTCCAGGCTTGTCGTGTGGGAAACTGGTCTGCGATTGGTCGGCTCAAGCGCACCCAAATGCCAAAGCTAGGGGGCGGCCCGGGCAGCAACTGGGGCGGCGGAGGGGCGGCGCCCGGCCTGCTGTCAGCTGTAGCCGGGCGGCTGCTGATCGACACGAGCGTTTCGTCCCGAGAGATACTGCCGAAGGAAGTGAGCCACTCGCTGTCGGCGCTGGCAGCGAGTCAGCTGGGGCACACGCGGAGGGAGGTGACAGCGGCTGAAGTGCCGGGGATGTATGGCAGCAGCGAATCTCTGATGAAACTGGTGAGTGGTTGCTTGCTGAATGGGACTGGTGAGGGCTATGGCGCACAGGATAGCTCTTGAGACAGGATAGGCAGCTGGGGCACACGTGGAGGGAGGTGGCAGCCTAAGTGGGTATATACGCGTATAGCGTATATACGCGTATCGTATATACGCTATCGTATATACGCTATACGCATAGGTCCCGAAACCCTAGATACGCTATTCGGGCAGGTTGAAAAAAAGTTAGGGCAGCTAAAGTAAGACCCCCCTGATATACTTATGCGGTCAGTTTCCACAGGGGTTGGATTTCCCGGATTTTTTTCCCGACCCAAAATTATTCACCAACAACATTACAATGACACATACTCATCTCATACTACTAGCACACATACTACAACTCACGCTACTCCAGATCAATTACGCCACCTACTCATACTCATCCTCCAGAATGACGTCGCCCCCCTCCTCCTCCTCCTCCTCCTCCTCCTCGTCCCCCTCCACCACATTGTAGCCCTCGGGCATGGGAGGCTCCGGCATGTTCCCGAGCACCACACCCGGCATGACATCTGCACGGGAATGCCAATTGCGCACAACATTCCAGTTGTGCGCAACAAAAACCAAATCCCGGCACTTGGCAGAGCCAAGCCGGTTCCGGCGGGCCGTGTGCACCCCATCCCACGTTGACCATCCCCTCTCACATGGTGAAGCCAACACGGCCTGAGAGAGAGTCCTGATGGCGAGGGCCGCCAGCTTTGGTGCGTCAGTGCCGTGCCACTGCCACCACTTTACCATGTCATACTTGCCCTCCTTGACCAAGCTCCTCTGAGCAATTGCATCCCCCATCCCGAAGCTTCCCTTCATATCCAGAAATGCCCTCACCCCCTCCTGCAGTTCCAGCAAAACCTCGCCAAAGTCATCCCCATCATCCCCCTCCTTACCGTGATTGCAGAGGTGCTCGGCGTGCTGAGTGATGAACGCTTTGAATACCTTTGTGCACTCCGCGTCTGAGCCGAAGATGTCTTCATCCTGGTTCGCCGGGTTGAGAATCCGGCCCGCAACGTGCATGGGGCAGGCGAGGCTGCCATCCCACCTGTTCTTCAGCAGGCGGCGGATGTGCACTTTGTCGGAGTAGGAGAGCTGCTCCTCATCCTCCTCCACCACTGTCCCCACATCCTCGGTCAACTGCAACATTGTGTCATACATACGGCCCATCATCCCCTTGGCATCCGCATCGGTCTTACGCATTGCGAAGAACGGGAGCTTCATCAGCTTGCAGAAAAACTCCGCCGTTTTCCACCACGCGTCATCAAGAACTTGCGCTGCAAACTTCTCCGCAGGCTTCTTCCTCTCCCCAACTGCCCAGCCCTTCCACACATCAGACACAACCATCTGTGCAAGCGACTGCCGCAGCTCACAGAGACGGGACACAACAATGCATTGTGTCCCGAATCTTGTTCCAGCCGGTTTCAGCGCCTGCAGCATCCTTGCACCCACCATTTCCGGGTTCCGCAAGTATCCCCTCGTCCAGTGGTGGTTGCGGACGAAGGAGCTGATATCGCCCGCAGGGTCCACCACGTTCTTGGCCCACGGCATCTTGCCGACGTCCTCCATGAAGAGGTCCAACACGTGGGTGGCGCAAGGCACGTGTTGAATGTGCGGCCATTCCGCGATCAACTGGTTGCACGCCACCGCGTAGTTGGACCCACCGTCCGTGCAGAATGCCACCACGTTCTCCGGACCGACCTCCTCCACCACGGGCCTGAGGATGCTGGCGACATAACCGCCAGTTTTGGTCTCCATGCGGCAGTCCACGCTGTCCTTGAACACCGCGCCACTGTCGTTGACGAGAAACACGTTCGCCTGGGGGCGACCGTTCTTATCGGTCATCATATAAGAAGCAACTGTCACGCCGGTCCGCTTCCAGCTCGCCTTCACTCCAGAAAGCCCCCTGTCGATGTTGTCGCAGCACATTCGCAAGCCCGCCCCGCCGATGAACCGCCTGTTTGGTGGGACGTATCCTGTGCCGGCGTCTCTAATGGCATGAACGGCGTTGATGAAGAGAGGGTGCTCCGCAACGCGCTCCGGGATGCGACACCCCGCGACCATGAGCGCCAACGCCTCATGTGCATCGCGCTTCCCAGCTTCCGCACCCGTCTCCAAGTAGTCAGTAATGCGGCTCCTCTTGCCGCTGCTGGTGACCGACGCGATGGCATCCGATGTCGCCTGGCGGCGCTGAGCCGCCGCTGCAGCCTTAGCCTCGTACTTCTTCCGCATGGCAACCCGCGCTTCAGTGGGGGCTTCCTTGCATAGCGCCACTTCGCGGCGCTTCATCTTCCTCCAACTCGCCAAGTGCTGCGCGCAGCGGATGGCGGCACCAGAAAAAACATTGCAGCAGTACCTGCACTCGTACTGCTGCGATTTCCCCTCGTCCACCTTTATGAGGCGGAAATGCTTGAACACATCGTGGTCGACATCCGGAAGGTAAACTCGAGCCGCACAATCAGGACTGGCCGTGCCGGTATCAGGAGGGGGAGTGGACTGGGCCGGGTTAACAACTGCAGAAGCCATGCTAAAAATCTCTGTGAAGTAAACAGGAGGATGAATTGACGAGATAAAACAATACCTGCTTGTTAAGTAGCGTGGGATGGATTGGTGAAGAGAAGTTGGATTGGAGGGAGTTTGTAGATCGAGAGCGGTACAAATTGGTGGAACTCCAATGTGAAATGTCAAGGACATCGCGACTCCAAACATTGGAGCCACGTAACCCAACTCACAGTCGCGGCGCCGCAATTTGAAAGCACGGAAACCAACTCACCTACACACATTGAAGCAAAGTCCAGGCCAGGGTAGATCTCGAGCGTGCATTTCGAGCACGGCATCTTCTTCGTCGTGAGAAGACGAAACTTTTTAGATGTACTAAAAAAAAATCGATTTTGGGCTGCCCCAAAAAAAAACCCCGAGCGTATAGCGTTTTGCGTGTATACGCAAGCGGATAAACGCTATACGCTTCAAGGCAAAAGCGTATATACCCACTTAGGTGGCAGCGACTGAGGTGGGGGGGATGTATGGCAGCAGCGAGAGCCTCATGAAGCTGGTGAGTTGGTAGAAACAGACAGACGAATGGCTCGCCCTCACCCTCATGTTCCAACTCTCTATGCTGCCACTGCTGCTCTTGCTCTCCCTCTCTCTCCTCTCCCTCCCTCACTCCCCTCTCCCTCTCTCCCGCCCACACCCCCCCCCATCCACCCTGCAGGTGGGGCTGGTGGAGAAAGACGCATGGCTCGCCCTCACGCTCATGTTCCAACTTCCGTGCTGCCACTTCTGTCCTCCCCTCCCTCTCCCTTAATTCCCTCTCCTCCCCTCCTCTCTTTCCCTCCCTGCAGGTGGGGCTGGTAGAGACAGACGCATGGCTCGCCCTCACGCTCATGTTCCAACTGTCCGTGCTGCCACTCTCGCGCCAGCTCACCAACCTCAGCGGCAACCTTTGGAACCGCACACTGCACGTGGGCACACCTTTGGAACCGCACACTGCAGGTGGGCACACCTTTGGAACCGCACACTGCAGGTGGGCACACCTTTGGAACCTGGCTTCTCGTGCTGGATAGGAGTAACTTGTTCCTTTTCCCATCGACTCCTGGTAGGACCCTACATTAACTTGTTTTTGTTAGATAGCTTGAGAGTGATCGTGCTGTGTTTTTCTTCTGCTGCCCGTCGTTGTCAGGGATCCCGGGCGCAGCGAATCGAGTACCTCCTGCTGCACGAATTCCACCGCCGGAAGTTCATGCTGCCCGACAAGCTGACCTCAAAAGAAAAAGAAGCGGCAGTCTCATCCGCCGCTACCGCTGCTACAGCCTCAGGCAAGAAAAAGAAACGCAAAGGAGCAGGAGGGAGTGCCAGGGAGATTCAAGAAAAGGCAGCAGGAGCAGGAGAAGACGCTACAGTGGCAAGGGGAGTAGAAGGGGGAGAGGAAGAAGAGGGGGATGATGATGATACTCCTGAGGGCGCCGAGGGAGGAGCAGGAGCAAGAGGAAAGAAGGGGGGTGGCGGAGGAGGAGGGGGAGGTGAGGGGGGGAAGAAGAAGGGGCCGGGGTATGCGGGGGGGTTGGTGCTGGAGCCGAAGCGAGGGCTGTATGATAAGATAGTGGTGCTGCTGGACTTCAACAGCCTGTATCCCTCCATCATCCGCGAATACAACATCTGCTTCACCACTGTGGCTTGTCCGGATGATGCCTCTTCTCTCCCCCAACTACCCGACCCTGATCCCCCTGGGGTGCTGCCAGAGGTACGTGTGTGTGGGCTGGCTTCGTTTGTCTGGGAGAAGGCTCTTGAAGGGCTGACTTGTGATGCAGAAGGTGGGTTGGGGGGTTGGTGCTGGAGCCGAAGAGGGGGCTGTATGATAAGATAGTGGTGCTGCTGGACTTCAACAGCCTGTATCCCTGCATCATCCGCGAATACAACATCTGCTTCACCACCGTTGCCTGCCCCGATGATGCCTCCTCGCTGCCACAGCTGCCTGACCCTGACCCCCCTGGGGTGCTGCCAGAGGTACGTGCGTGACTTGGCGTGCCTGTTCTGTTCCATTCGATGTGCCACACCCCGCACCGCACTGCACCACACCACACTACTTCACACCACACCCTGCAGATTCAAGTTGCTGCCAGGGACAAGGGCACGGATGCGATCCAATAATGCCTTTTATCTAATCCCTTTGTGTGATATGGTGCGGTATGGTATGGCGTGGTGCTGGCAGGTGCTGGGCATGTTGGTGCAGAGGAGGCGGCAGGTGAAGGATCTACTCAAGAGGGAGAATGATCCGGACGAGAGGCAGAGGCTGGACATCCGCCAACAAGCGCTCAAGCTCACTGCCAACAGGTGCGATACACTAGATAGATGCTAGGGTGTTGGGCGCCTCAAGCGCCCGTACCTGCAGTCCATGCAGTACGTGCGGCTGCCTGGGCTTCTCTAACTCGTTCGTTTTCGCCAACTCCTGTAAAATTGACTCATAAGTCACCCCGCCTGCACCTGTCCCGCTTCCCTTGCCCCTCCCGTTTCCCCCAACCCTCCCGTTCCCCTCACTCCTTCCGCTCCTCTCGCCCCCTGCAGCATGTACGGCTGCCTGGGATTTTCCAACTCACGCTTCTTCGCCAAGCCCCTCGCTGAACTGATCACGTCAAGGGTACGCCTTCCCCATCCCATCCCCTTCATTCCATGGTCCTGCTGTTTTCCGTTCTGTGAGCGAGTTTTGTTGGATTTCTCACAGTACGTTCTTTGGGTTTGTGACGTTCTGCAAACTTCTGTAAACGTTCTGCAACTTACTGGTGCAGGAACAAACTGAACCTGGAGGTGATAAACGATGACACCGACTCGTCATGATCAACACAACTGCATTGCTGCCCGTCCCCTTTGCTGCTGTCGTTCCCCCCCTCTCCCAGGGCCGAGACATCCTTCAGTGCACAGTGGATCTGGTGCAGAACAACTTGAATCTGGGGGTGATATACGGTGACACGGACTCCATCATGATCATCACTGTCCCCACCTGCCCTTGCTTCCCTCTCCTCGCTCCCTGCTATCCGGCTTGCCCTTCCCTGCCTCCTCTTCTGCAGGGCCGAGACATCCCTCAGAGCACAGTGGATCTGGTGCAGAACAACTTGAACCTTGAAGTGATGTACAGTGACACGGACTCCATTATGATCAACACGGCCTTTCCCCTTGCTGCTCTCATTCCCTACCTGAATCCCCACCTCTCAAATCACAGGGTCGGGACATCCTGCAGAGCACGGTGGATCTGGTGCAGAACAATCTGAATCTGGAGGTGATATACGGTGATACAGACTCCATCATGATCAACACGGGGCTGGACGACCCCAGCCAGGCCATTGCCATCGCCCACCGCGTCAAGAAAGAGGTGAGGAGAAGGGGAGGAGAGGTGAGGAGGGTTGGAGGGGACGGTTGTTGTTGAGGTGCTTTTTAGAAGCGGGCTGGACGGCCCTAGCCAGGCCATTGCTATTGCCCACCGCGTAATATCCCACTCCCGCTTGTTCACATCTGCACCTGCTGCTGCGGAACGAAAAGAAGTACTCCGCTTGTTCACGCTGCTCCGGGGGCCGGTGAAACCCCCACCGTGCTTGGTGACTTTTGAGTCGACTCAAAAGTCACTTTGTCAAGCTGCTCCTGGGGCCGGTGAATGTGCCTCAAAAGCGACGAGCCCCGGACAAGATACTGCTCAGCACACCATCCCTCACCCCACACCCTCGCCCTTCCCCTCTATCCTCTGCCATCCACCACACCAGGCCCACAAGCGTTGCAAACTCCTTGAGATTGAGATGGACAGGCTGTTCCGCAGCATGCTGCCGCTGAACAAGAAGAAGTACGCCTCTGTCAAGCTGCTCCTGGGTGACGGGGAACCCCCTTACTCTGCTCCAGAGGCACCGTAAAAGCGGAGAGCCTGACAAGAAGCTGCGGATCACACCATCCCTCGCCCCCACTCCCTCTCCCTTGCTCTCCCCTTCCCACGCTGCAGGTGAACAAGCGCTATAAGCTGCTTGAAATCGAGATGGACGGGCTATTCCGAAGCATGCTGCTGCTGAACAAGAAGTACGCCTCTGTCAAGCTGCTCCTTGACTTTCCCCTTTGCCCTGCCCCACCACACCATCCCTCTGCCAGGTGAACAAGCGCTATAAACTTCTAGAGATTGAGATGGACGGGCTATTCCGAAGCATGCTGCTCCTGAACAAGAAGAAGTACGCTTCCATCAAGCTGCCTTCTCTCCATCTCCCCTTCCCTCCCCTCCCCCGTGAAAACCAGGTCAACAAGCGCTATAAGCTGCTTGAAATCGAGATGGACGGCTTGTTCCGAAGCATGCTGCTGCTGAACAAGAAGAAGTACGCTTCCATCAAGCTGCCTTCTCTCCATCTCCCCTTCCCTCCCCTCCCCCGTGAAAACCAGGTCAACAAGCGCTATAAGCTGCTTGAAATCGAGATGGACGGCTTGTTCCGAAGCATGCTGCTGCTGAACAAGAAGAAGTACGCCTCCGTCAAGCTGCTCCTGGGAGCTGGCGAGCCCCCTAAAGTGCTGAGAGAGGTGGCGGAGCACAAGGGGCTGGACATTGTTCGGCGTGACTGGAGTGTTTTATCCAAGGAGATCGGTGCTTTCTGCCTCAAGCAGATCCTGTCTGGCAGGTATGTCCGGCCTGCAAGAGGTGCTGTGGTTTCTTGGTGCCCCAAATAGCCAAGCCCCCACGGTGTTGAGAGAGGTGGCGGAGCACAAGGGGCTGGACATTGTTCGGCGTGACTGGAGTGTTTTATCCAAGGAGATCGGTGCTTTCTGCCTCAAGCAGATGCTGTCTGGCAGGTATGTCCGGCCTGCAAGAGGTGCTGTGGTTTCTTGGTGCCCCAAATAGCCAGCCCCCACGGTGTTGAGAGAGGTGGCGGAGCACAAGGGGCTGGAAATCGTTCGCAGGGACTGGAGTGTGCTGTCTAAAGAGATCGGCGCCTACTGCCTCAACCAGATTCTCTCTGGCAGGTGAGCGTGAGAGAGGGTGTGCATGGAGGTGAATGAAATATCAAGCCAGCCAGCCCCCCTTGGTGCTGCGGGAGGTGCCGGAGCACAAGGGGCTGGACATCGTTCGCAGGGACTGGAGCGTTCTATCCAAGGAGATGGGTGCCTACTGCTTGAAACAGATACTGTCTGGCAGGTACGGGTGAGAGTGGTTCGATCCTGGCTATTCTCGGCACCCCAATTCGAACTCCCCACAGTGCTGCGAGAGGTGGCGAAGCACAAGGGGCTGGACATTGCTCGCAGGGACGGCAGTGTTCTATTGAAAGAAATTGGCAGCTTCTGCTTGAAGCAGATTCTGTCTGGCAGGTGGGTTGCCTTGCCTGCTCCAGATAGCCCTGTGTGTTTGTGGGTGGTGACTTTTCTCGGTGCCCCGGATAGCGATCGCTCCCCAGGACCTCCTCACCTATTCCCACCTCTCCCCACCTCACCTCTCCCCATCTCCTCAACTCACCTCTCCCCACCTCTCCCCACCTCTCCCCACCTCGTCCCGATTATGTGAGTGCAGGCCGCGGGAGGAGGTGGTGGAGGCGATTCACAATGAGCTGCGCAATGTGAGTGCAACCACGGTCACTTACTCACCCATTCACTCACTCACTCACTCACTCACTCACTCACTCACTCACAATCACACGCACACCCTTGCAGCGCAATCACAATCAGAACAAGTCGGATGCTTGTCATTTGCCATCACCCTCACAAGCCGTCCACTAAGTCACCCGCATGCCCTCTTTCTCTCCCCCCCTCTCTCCACTCTTCCAACACGCTACAGCTGGCAGCGAGGTTACGAGCGGGGGAGGTAGACCTGACATCGTTTGTCAGCACCAAGCCGCTCACCAAGACGCCCTCCGACTACCCGAATGCCAACTCACAACCTTTCTCCTGCTCTGCCCATCTGCCCCTGTCGTCCCCTCCCTGTGAACACGCCAGCTGGCAGCGAGGCTACGAGCAGGGGAGGTAGACCTGACATCGTTCGTGATCACCAAGACGCTGACGAAGCCGCCGTCCGACTACCCAGATGCCAACTCACAGCCGCACGTGCAGGTGGCACTGAGGAGGAAGAAGGAGGGGCGCACGGAGGGGTGCAACGCAGGAGACGCCATTCCCTACGTCGTTGCCGTTCCACGGGTAGGTGCTGTGGGATGAAGGCAGGTTCAGTGTGGGGCTGGGTAGGGTACTCTCATGTTAGCTCGCGGCTGCGCTTGCATGTGGAGCTGAGGAAGGAGGGGCGCACAGAGAGGTGCAATGCTGGAGGCGCCATTCCCTATGGCATTGCCATTCCAAGGGTATGTGCTGTGGGATGAAGGCAGGTTCATTGCGGTGATGAGTGGTTGAATAGGGTATCTAACGTAGGATACCGAGAGAGCGGGGCACGTGGACAAGGAGAAGAGTGCAGAGAACGAGTTGGCCCTGAAACACCCCCCTCCCGATTTCCTTCATCCCCCCCCGCCTGTGTGCATGTGCAGCAACCATGCAGTGGGGGAGCAGAAACAGCAGCAGCACCTGGCCGGAGCAGCGGTGCAGGCAGCATAGCAGAGCGAGCAAGGCATGTGGACGAGTTGAGGAGTGCAGAGAGCGAGTGGGACGTGGACAGGGAGTAACTTTTGAGTCGACTCAAAAGTCAGGACGTGGATAGGGAGTACTACCTGGCACACCAGGTGCCGCCCTTAAAACACCCCCCTCCATTCCCCTCTTCTTCCCCCACCGCCTGCAGCAATCAGGAAGTGAGGGAGCAGACGCAGCAGTGCCACCTGCTGGTCGCGGTGCGGGTGGCATAGCGGAGCGAGCACGGCATGTGGACGAGTTGAGGAGCGCAGAGAGCGAGTGGGACGTGGACAGGGAGTACTACCTGGCACACCAGGTGCACCCCGTGGTGGCCCGGCTGTGCGCTCCCATTGAAGGCACGGACGCCGCCCGCCTGGCCGACTGTCTGGGGCTCGACTCCTCCAAGGTAGGGCCGCATACAGACAGACATATATAGAGGCACTTTTGAGGCGCCTCAAAAGACTTTTGTGACTTTTGAGGCGCCTCAAAAGTCGGCCACATACAGACAGACATATATAGAGGCGCTTCCAGGGAGAAACACGTTGATAGTGAGGGAGGGAGAGCGAGTGGGACGTGGACAGGCGCACCAGGTGCACCTCGTGGTGGCAAGGCTGTGTGCGCCTATCGAAGGCACGGACGCTGCTAGGCTGGCTGACTGCCTTGGGCTGGACTCCTCCAAAGTACACCCTTTCGCGGATTCTTGTATACATACAAAGTATTACCACAGTTGTTTAGACATGATAGAGGCAAGCAGTGGGTGGAGTGTTCCTCCTCATGTTTCAACTCGCAAACCCTAAACCCTTTAAAGTAAACTCCCTTGCCTGCCACCCTTGTCTTTTGTGTGCAGTATCGGCAGGTGCATGCAACAGCAGCAACGGTGCGAGATGATGCCATGCTGGCAGCCTCCTCCATTCTGGATGATGATGAACGGTGAGAGATGGGGTTTGATGAGAATGTACGGTGAGAGTTGGAGTTGATGATGATGGACGGTGAGAGATGGGGTTTGATGAGGATGAACGGTGAGAGATGGGGTTGATGAGAATGGACGATACGATCCTCCCTAATTGTCCCCTATTCTCCAATATTGCTCCCCTTCCCATCCATCGCTTACCCTCCTCCCCCGCTCTCACCCTCCTCCCCATCTCGCCCTTCTCAGATACTCGCACCTCCCCCCACTGCAGTTTCTCTGTCCCTCGTGCCGCTTCCCCTTTGCCTTCCAGTTCCATTACTTCTCTCTTTCCCCTCTTCCCCTCTATCCCCGCTCCCAACCCCTTCCCCCTGCCTCCCTTCCCCCCCCAGCTACGCGCGCCTCCCCCCGCTGCAGTTCCTCTGTCCCTCGTGCCGCTTCCCCTTTGCCTTCCCGGGCGTGCCTGCCATCGCCCACGGGAGGGACCGGGAGGTGCTTGAGAGGGCTGGGGAGAGAGCAGGTGGAGCAAATGGGATAGGAGAGAGCAGAGGGGAGGGGGAGAAGGGAAGTGGAGGGGAGGGGAAGGAGGTAGAGGGGGGGAAAGAGGAGGAGAGGGAGGTGCAGCCGCTGGTGTGTCCGCGCTGCAAGGACGCCAAGCCGCTGTCGCCTGCCATGCTCTCCAACCAGGTGTGCCAATCACAAAGAGCGACCAGTGGAACGCCTATAGTCCGCACAAAGGTTGTCGGCTCGAACCCTGTCGACTCAAAGCTCTTAAACCGGAACCTGAGCCTAATTCCTCACTTTTTTGTTTTGTGGCTTGGCATTTGTGGTGCAGGTGAAGAGGCAGGCAGAGGTTTTCATATCACAGTATTACGACGCATGGATGCAGGTAGGCTACACTGACAATCGTTTTTGCTTATTTTTATTGATTCTTACCTTGATGTTGATAATGCATTATTATGATGCATGCAGGTATTCCACTTCTCCCCAATTCTCTCTCCTCTCGTGCAATCTCATAGACACACGGCAAAGTCGGGTGCAGGACGGCAGACGGGTAGGAGGAGGGGAGGAGTTGACAGAGGAGGAGGAGAGGGTGAACGAGGTGTTGAATGAGAGCACGTGGAAGTTCATCTGGGATGGGCTCAGCACCATGCTGCGATCCGCACTCGTGCAGGTATGGATTGGTGCGGTCAGGTGGAGTGCGGTACAGTGCGGTACGGGTGCAGGTGGAGTGCGATACAGGTGCAGTTCATCTGGGATGGGCTCAGCACCATGCTGCGATCCGCACTCGTGCAGGTATGGATTGGTGCGGTCAGGTGGAGTGCGGTACAGTGCGGTACGGGTGCAGGTGGAGTGCGATACAGGTGCAGTTCATCTGGGATGGGCTCAGCACCATGCTGCGATCCGCACTCGTGCAGGTATTCCACTTCTCCCCAATTCTCTCTCCTCTCGTGCAATCTCATAGACACACACACACACAGACACACACACACACAGACACACACACACACAGACACACACACACACAGACACACACACACACAGACACACACACACACAGACACACACACACACAGACACACACACACACAGACACACACACACACAGACACACAACACACACAGACACACACACACACAGACACACACACACACAGACACACACACACACAGACACACACACACACAGACACACACACACACAGACACACACACACACAGACACACACACACACAGACACACACACACACAGACACACACACACACACAGACACACACACACACAGACACACACACACACAGACACACACACACACTGACACACACACACACTGACACACACACACACAGACACACACACACACAGACACACACACACACTGACACACACACACACAGACACACACACACACAGACACACACACACACAGACACACACACACACAGACACACACACACACAGACACACACACACACTGACACACACACACACAGACACACACACACACAGACACACACACACACACACACACACACACACACACAGACACACTGACACACACACACACAGACACACACACACACAGACACACACACACACAGACACACACACACACTGACACACACAACACAGACACACACACACACAGACACACACACACACAGACACACACACACACAGACACACACACACACAGACACACACACACACTGACACACACACACACAGACACACACACACACAGACACACACACACACACACACACACACACACACAGACACACACACACAGACACAGACACACAGACACAGACACACACACACACAGACACAGACACACACACACACACACACACACACACACAGACACAGACACACACACACACACACAGACACAGACACACACACACACACACACACACACAGACACAGACACACACACACACACACACACAGACACACACACACAGACACAGACACACAGACACACACACACACAGACACAGACACAGACACACACACACACACACAGACACACACACACACACACACACACACACAGACACACACACACACAGACACACACACACACAGACACACACACACACAGACACACACACACACACACACACACACACACACACACACAGACACACACACACACACACACACACACACAGACACACACACACACAGACACACACACACACAGACACACACACACACAGACACACACACACACACACACAGACACACACACACACAGACACACACACACACAGACACACACACACACAGACACACACACACACAGACACACACACACACAGACACACACACACACAGACACACACACACACAGACACACACACACACAGACACACACACACACAGACACACACACACACAGACACACACACACACAGACACACACACACACAGACACACACACACACAGACACACACACACACAGACACACACACACACAGACACACACACACACAGACACACACACACACAGACACACACACACACAGACACACACACACACAGACACACACACACACAGACACACACACACACAGACACACACACACACAGACACACACACACACAGACACACACACACACAGACACACACACACACAGACACACACACACACAGACACACACACACACAGACACACACACACACAGACACACACACACACAGACACACACACACACAGACACACACACACACAGACACACACACACACAGACACACACACACACAGACACACACACACACAGACACACACACACACAGACACACACACACACAGACACACACACACACAGACACACACACACACAGACACACACACACACAGACACACACACACACAGACACACACACACACAGACACACACACACACAGACACACACACACACAGACACACACACACACAGACACACACACACACAGACACACACACACACAGACACACACACACACAGACACACACACACACAGACACACACACACACAGACACACACACACACAGACACACACACACACAGACACACACACACACAGACACACACACACACAGACACACACACACACAGACACACACACACACAGACACACACACACACAGACACACACACACACAGACACACACACACACAGACACACACACACACAGACACACACACACACAGACACACACACACACAGACACACACACACACAGACACACACACACACAGACACACACACACACTGACACACACACACACAGACACACACACACACAGACACACACACACACAGACACACACACACACTGACACACACACACACAGACACACACACACACAGACACACACACACACAGACACACACACACACAGACACACACACACACAGACACACACACACACAGACACACACACACACAGACACACACACACACAGACACACACACACACACACACACACACACACACACACAGACACACACACACACAGACACACACACACACAGACACACACACACACAGACACACACACACACAGACACACACACACACAGACACACACACACACAGACACACACACACACAGACACACACACACACAGACACACACACACACAGACACACACACACACAGACACACACACACAGACACACACACACACAGACACACACACACACAGACACACACACACACAGACACACACACACACACAGACACACACACACAGACACAGACACACAGACACAGACACACACACACACACACACAGACACACACACACACACACACACACACACACAGACACAGACACACACACACACACACACAGACACAGACACACACACACACACACACACACACAGACACAGACACACACACACACACACACAGACACACACACACAGACACAGACACACACACACAGACACACACACACACAGACACAGACACAGACACACACACACACACACAGACACACACACACACACACACACACACAGACACACACACACACAGACACACACACACACAGACACACACACACACAGACACACACACACACACACACACACACACACACAGACACACACACACACACACACACACACACACAGACACACACACACACAGACACACACACACACAGACACACACACACACAGACACACACACACACAGACACACACACACACAGACACACACACACACAGACACACACACACACAGACACACACACACACAGACACACACACACACAGACACACACACACACAGACACACACACACACAGACACACACACACACAGACACACACACACACAGACACACACACACACAGACACACACACACACAGACACACACACACACAGACACACACACACACAGACACACACACACACAGACACACACACACACAGACACACACACACACAGACACACACACACACAGACACACACACACACAGACACACACACACACAGACACACACACACACAGACACACACACACACAGACACACACACACAGACACACACACACACAGACACACACACACACAGACACACACACACACAGACACACACACACACAGACACACACACACACAGACACACACACACACAGACACACACACACACAGACACACACACACACAGACACACACACACACAGACACACACACACACAGACACACACACACACAGACACACACACACACAGACACACACACACACAGACACACACACACACAGACACACACACACACAGACACACACACACACAGACACACACACACACAGACACACACACACACAGACACACACACACACAGACACACACACACACAGACACACACACACACAGACACACACACACACAGACACACACACACACAGACACACACACACACAGACACACACACACACAGACACACACACACACAGACACACACACACACAGACACACACACACACAGACACACACACACACAGACACACACACACACAGACACACACACACACAGACACACACACACACAGACACACACACACACAGACACACACACACACAGACACACACACACACAGACACACACACACACAGACACACACACACACAGACACACACACACACAGACACACACACACACAGACACACACACACACAGACACACACACACACAGACACACACACACACAGACACACACACACACAGACACACACACACACAGACACACACACACACACACAGACACACACACACAGACACAGACACACAGACACAGACACACACACACACAGACACAGACACACACACACACACACACACACACACACAGACACAGACACACACACACACACACACAGACACAGACACACACACACACACACACACACACAGACACAGACACACACACACACACACACACAGACACACACACACAGACACAGACACACACACACAGACACACACACACACAGACACAGACACAGACACACACACACACACACAGACACACACA